GTAGTGATCTCTAAAAATTTAATTATGTTACCACCATTGATAAATATATACCACTAGCCAATTCCTAATTCAATTACGTATCTTGAAAAGTGACATTTTGTCGTTTTTTTTGCATTTTGTAGGTTTTTAGTGACTTAACATGTTCTTCTACAAGATGTTAACTTAGCACTAGCTATGTTACACTTGTTGTGAACTTGTTTTGTAGCTGTACGTGTTGCCTAAACATCATGATGCTTCAGTTATCAACGTTTGGCTATGATATAATGTGAGATCTGCTTCAAAGATGGCATTATTGGAGATCTAAGCAGTGAGTTGTATGAGTCCTAACACAAAAATGTTCGGAAATTATCTAATTGTATCTAAAAGTTTATTTATTTTTGTAAGGTTAAAAATCTATTATTTTTCTTGAAGAACACAATGAAATATATTGTTTGCACATCATATTAAGAAAACTGTTTTCAAATTATATGATACTGAAATATAAAATCAAACTAATCTAATATTGATAACAACGCAACGTTTTGCTGACACATAAACGTTCGGACACGATATTAAAAAGCAAATAATAGCAGGTCATGGAGACAAAAAAGTGTTTACAATTTGACGTTTTGATTTAAGAATCAATTTACTTTAAAATGTCGCGTGGTAAAGCAACAAAGAGTTTTAATGATAAAATTGTTTCATCAAGAAAAGAGTTGTTGGGATATTGCTAAACAAATAAATGTCTCAAAGTAAACGGGCAATGTGGACTTACGAAGTCTGGAAAAAGACAATTCTTAGCGATGAATAGAAATTTGATGTCTGTGTGGGTGACCACCGATCCCGGGTTATAAGAAACAAAAGTGAAATGCTTCATAAAGACTGCCTAAAGAGAAAAGTAAAGTTTCCATTAGGTTTAATGGTATGGGGAAGCATATCTGTTTTTGGCGTTGGAAAACTTCACTTCAAAGACTGTAAACGCAGCTAAATCTTAAAATATCCTTGAAGCCAATTTGATAGTGTCAATTCCATTTTTATCTCCTGATAGAAATTTATTTTTCTACAAGTCTGTGCATCATGTCATACGGCCAAAACTACGAAAAACTAGTTGCAGGATAATATTTCTTTCGTTGACTAGCCTAGCCAGTAGTCCTGATTTAAATATTATCGAAACTGTATGGCACAAAATGAAGCAGCAGTTAAGAAATGGTCCATATCGAAACATTTCTGATTCACGAGTAAGATTACAAAATATATGGGATTCTTTTAAAGCGGAAGTCTGCGAAAACCTTGTTAAAAATATGCAAGCCAGATTTAATGCTGTTATTAAGGCAAAGGAAGACGTAACGCTCTGTTGAAATGGTTCGTCCGAACATTTATGTGTCAGCCAAATATTGCTTTATTATTAATGTCAGTTTAGTTTTAAAGTTTAATATCATATTCCTTGATAATAATTTTATTAATATGATGTCCAAACAATATATTTCAATGTCATAAAAAGAAAAAAATATTCTGTTACCTTAAAAAAATAATCAAACTTTGAGGTAAAATTAGATAATGTCCGAACTATTTTGTGTTAGGGCTCGTATACTATAACTGGAAGGAAACGGCATTGCATAGTGAGGATTTGTGTGCTAAGAAAATCTGTATTGTTGATAATTCCATTTCTTTCTTGTCTCAAATACACTTACTTGAGATTCAAAGCTAGAAATTACATATGCAAATTTGCTGAATTTCAAAAATGAAAGAGATAAGAAAAGAAAATCCCTGGTTGGTAAAGTAACAGGTGAGAACATATGATACAGACAGGAATATTTATGAAAGTGAAAAGGTTATTACATTATCTTTTATTTCCAGTCATTTAAATTTTATAGACATTTAATTTGCGATGTCAATAGAAAATACAAATCAGCGCCTCGATGTAAGGGACTGTGAAAATGTTTAATGTGTGATGTGTCATTCGTAATTTTTCTGTGATTTGGCTTAATTGCACACAACGCGGGCGCAGTGGCGATTTCTTGTATTGCTCCCCAGAGTTTTTGAAAACAAAAAAAAACGGAGAAAATCATAATGTACAACTTTGAACATAACCTGTCTACAGAAATAACACCATATAAGTAACCCGTCGGGCACAGCTAATAGATATACTTCATTGCAGCAAATTCAGTTTTTTTTAAATTTTCTGACATACTTATTTTATACACATGTAGACCAATACACATAATCATCCATATGCAGTGGCGACGCGTGACTTTTCCTAAACTGTTACCAAAACCAGATGTGAAAAATCATTGAAAAAAGTTTATTTTGAACCTCCCAAATATAAGTTTTTGCTTATTTTAGGTATTTTATTTAAACTATTTTTAAATTAAGGTAAACATTCCTGGATTGAGCGTCTGGGGCACTTGATATACCTCATCGTCTTATGCTATGACTAATCCAAGCTGTCCGAAAAAACAATCGACGTTTCTAGTTGTTCGGAAAGCTTTTGATCTTTTTTGGCAATGGATCTTAACAATTCCCTGTAATTTCCTCTATTGTCAGAGTCATCCCCTTCAAAATGAACGGTAATTCCTGTTTTGCCAATAAACATACGGTATCTAGAAGTGTGCTGCCTAAAAGTTGGTTAAGACAAGTTTCGAGTCTTGTTTTGCCAAACTGAATTAAATTGGCTACACATCTCACATGTAACGGAGATATTTTTTTTCTCCTCGTTAGAGCCCTAAAACTATTTAAATTGTTGACTCCGCTGCATTTTATTCTGACATCGAAAACAATACAATCTGTTTTTTTAACGCCCAAATAAACAAGAGTTTCCATATACTAACTTAATTTAAAATATCAAACTACGTTTTTTTATTCATTTTTAAAATTATCTAAAATAGGCGTTGGTGTTCCATTTTCAATGATCTCCTTTTTTTCTTAAAAATTATACAAGGAGAATGACTTTTCAAGTAGTTGATCGATTACGCAGCGACACTCATCCATATGTTTTATTGCACGCATACTACAGCCGGTAACCAAAACGGCTACTAACGAGTGAGAAGTCAGTAACCAAATCAAAAAATTGTAACAAGCCCACATAATAGTCGCAGCGCCCCACGCACTCGGGCGACCGCGATCAGACGCGAACCGGTACAGACGGTCCACGACAGACTACCAAGTGTATCCATAAATGAAAATGGTAACAACCGACAACCAAGTAGAGGCAAGTCGGCTTCATCGTGTTCGCAAAACCTAGACACTATAGAGCGCATTATTTTCGTCGGACTAATTTGTTATTTACTGAATTACTATTACATATCGCTGTTGGTAAACAAATAAATGAAATTATTTTACAGTACTTAGTCATAAAATATTTATTTATAAGGTTTTTAACTGTTACTAATAGTAACAATGGTTACATGGACGCTTCGCCACGGTCCATATGTGATTTTGCTACTCAACCAACTTTCTTTCTTTCACATCTCCTCAGAGATAAACACTACAGACTACTCGACTTCACAAAACATATACTTGCTTTCTGCAACCAACAATCAGTGTAGTGAGTGATTCCTCCATAGATGGACGCTCACAGCGATCATAGCGAGCAAAAGTGGAATGAACTGTTTGCACACTAAAAACTATCTAGTCTGCAAGATGACATTTTGTCGGTTTTTTGCGTTTCTTAGGTTTTTTACATAATACCCCTGAAGATCCTAAAGTACTATTTTTATTAGTCGCTCCTATTTGCGTTTCCACTTAGATTATCACTTTTTTTTTGCAATGACCTCCCTTTTTTTCTAGTTTTTTATGTACTTTAGCTAGGCAAAAAGGAATCTTTGCTATAAAGGAGGTAGGTACGAAGGCATTGAAAGTACATATATACGCTACTCAATCTTTCAGAAAATAAATAATGTCTGGCAACCCTGGGATCTTACTCCATTTGATACTACGATAATCAATGCTTCTACCACATAGATAATAACTAGCTATGAAACTCTCCTGTCAAAAAGGTTTAGCACTCAGCATCAACCGGTGTTGCCACGTATCCTGCCAGCGGCGGCAGATATTATTTGCAATCGTAAAAATTATACTATTCCGATATGCTCTAGTGTAGTTTGTGTGAGCCAATAATAAAAAGGGGTATGTTTGTCCAAGAAGAAACCACGGATGTCTATTTATTTATGAAAAAGCTTCATAATAAATTTGTATTGGTTGAAGCATTTACAATAAACAGAAAAATATTTACTTCATTTTCAATGTAAGCACTTTTAGAAAACCGCAATCAAACCTGACCCTTAAATACCTAGAAATGTTAAGTTACAAAAATTGTAGTTACCAATGTACGTTCCTTACTTGGAAAATATAGGTGATTCATAATTACGTGACAACACATACATTTTTTAAATGAGCGAAGAATAAAAAAATATCGTGCAAAATGGTTAAGTTTTACTGATGAACAATGTTTCTTAAATCTCCCATTTAAATGTTCATGTACTCTCGTTCTTTTTGCGACAAAGACAACAAAATTTTTGCCAGTGGTGAAGGTTTTATTTGTTTGACGTTTTTAGCACTACTTACATTGAAAATGCAATGGACTGATTATATCGCACCAGCGTAGAATACATAGCAAAAGTACATATTTTTCCGTTTATTGTAAATACTTCCACCATTACAAATTTATTGTGAAGCTTTTTTGATAAATAAATAGTCATCCGTGGTTTGTTTTTGGACAAACATACTCTTTTTTATTATTGATTCACACAAACTGCATTAAATCATATCGAAATATCATTTTACGATTGCAAATAATATCAGCAGCCGCTGGCATGATACGTGGCAACACCGGCTGCTGCTGAACACTAAAACCTTTTTCATCGTTACTCTAGGGTAATTTACATGCGATTTTATCTGGCAAAATGGAGGCAATTTTTGACACTGACAGAGTTTCGCAGCTGATTGGTATCTAAGCTGCGCTTCTGCTATGATTGCCGCCTTATTCTGGGGCACTCTGTATATTGCACATAGTTTGTCCTTACCCTGGCATTCCCAATGCTCCCAAAGCAATGGATAATGGTAGATTTCCCAAATCAGGAATGATCCATGCTTGTGGAACTCCATTTAGCATGGGTTTTCCATTTGAAATTGTATGTGTCCTCCAACCAAACTCTCCAACTACGTATTTTCCCACGGGGAATTTCTCATGTCTGCTTTCGATAATCCTAAAAGTACTGGGCATTACAGAAAATTTAAGATTTAAATTATGAAAATAGTTCATAAACCCAAACGTTACTTTTTTCATGATATATAGTTCTTAAGCTTTCCCGTCTTTATACATTGTGTCCCAGAAGTCGACGTCAAGCCAGAAACGAGGGATACTCCAAGTCGTAGTGATCATAAAAGTATAAAAAAATCTAAGTCGTGTTGTTTTCAAATTATAAGCTTTAAAAAAGAAATCGGAAAAAAACTACACAAGGTGATGATTTTTTAGTTCCCATTACCAAAAAATTTAATTTTTTCTTGGAGTGACGATCGGTGTCACTCTACGTAGTGGGATCACGTCAGGTAATAATGCCACTTTTATTAATTCGTTAATGTATTTATTAAATTCACAATTAATGTTCAAACTGCATTCCTTCGGCAGCAATGCAAGCTTAACATCTTAAAAATCTTCCGTTATTAATAAATTCAGCTGGTTCCGTTATTCTGTCCCGTAGCTCAGCGTAATTTTCGATTGGCTTTGAGTAAACTTCTTCTTTCACCGCTCCCCAGTAAAAAAATCGAGTGCATTTAAGTCAGATAAACGGGCTGGCCACAAAATTGTACCAGGACGCCCTATCCATCTGCTCGGGTATTCCGCATCAAGATATTCTCTAACCAACGGGCATAGTGCACCAGGCAGCCGTCTTGCTGGCACATGTCTCTATAAATACTTAGTGGTACGTCATCTTCCAATAATTTTGGTAAATGATTGAGTAAAAACTTTAAGTGAATTTCGCCATTCAAGTACTCTGGCAGCTCAAAGGTTACAATGATTCTCCCATTTAGAATCCAGTTCCACATGTTTACTAAGGGCCGTATTGTCAGTCATTCCTACAATATTGTAGGGCCTCTTTATCCCACCTTGATTTTCATAGTTTTCCACTGTTCCGTGTCAGCACTCTATTTTGAGGTTATGTCATAAATATCTATTTATAAGTGCTGAATAACTATGATGCAACATTGTATAACATTGTATAGGACAAAAGACATATAACAATCTCGCTCTACAACAAAAAGTTGTTGTCATGCGACAACTTTTTGAGGGTAAAAAAAATCAAAAATTGAAAATTGTAAAAGTGTAAGATAGTGAAGTCCAAAAATCAAAAATAAACAAAAATGTAAACATAGTAAAATAAAATAAACATTCAAAAATCAAAACACAAAGCTGAAAGCAAACTGGGTACATGGTTTTGTCTCTTAACACTATACCCTATTTCACGAGTATCCATCATGCTTTGACGTCAAATACTCAGGTGAACAGCTGATCAGCAAGTGACATTTTTGTGTCAGTCTGCGACGTTGGCAATAATGAATCGGGTGTAGATCTAGTAAAACTTGTTTTTAGCGTTTTGTGTTTTGTATGCAAATGAACTTTTCTAAATAAAAGAGCTATTATATTAGCAGCTACAAAATGAATCTGCAGCGTACAAAAAACCAAAACAAAATACGGCTCTGTCTACCTGGCATTGTCGGATCCGTCAGAATTATGTGTCCTATGCCGGTATGGGGAATGTTGAGATATTACTAGATAATCAGCTATCATTCTGCCGTGTTGGACACTCATGAAATAGGGTAAAAGCTGATTTGTAGGTCAGCATATATGACAGAGTAACGTATGTGTTCTTACGCCTGTATGCGATGTATTAATGATCATTTGTTCAAATACATCAAATAGTTAATCGGGTTATTTGGAAAATATAGCAGGAATACAGGAAAGTCGGTTTGTCATATCAAAGGCGCACTAAAGTTATATACTATATGACGGCGTAGCTTAATTTTCGATGTATGACACATACGCCGGTATCTCCACCAAATTGTTCATGCTATTGATTTCACCAGATTTATCAGCCTGAAATTTCCTACGATTCAAAAAGAAAACATAACTTCAAAATAGGAAAGCGCTGACGCTGACACGGAACAGATGAAACCTAGAAATATCCCAGCCTTTCTGAAGGAGATAAAAAGATGAGAATCAAAGATGCCATAAAGGCGTCCTACAATCATAGAAACGACTGACGATAAGCGCCTTAAAAACGATACTGTGAGCTATCTTGTCTCATCCAATTTGTCTTTTCTACATACCACTCGTGTAAGTTGTAACCGTCTTTTTTAAATGTCAACTCATTAATCCATAAAATTTTCTCTAAATATCAAGGATCTTCCCGGTGTCTCTATAAGATTGTTTCACAAAACTCAACTCTCGGAAGATAATCCCGGGATTGTAGAAGCTGTACTCGCTGTACGTGGTACGGGTGGAGCTCGTTCTTTCGCAAGATTCAGTGGGCTGTACTTTTGGGCACCTCCGCAGGGTTATTACGTAAAAAACCTATATGATGTCAAAAAAAAAACGATGAATTGTCAACTTGTTGACTAGGTAAGCTAGTGTACAAATAGTTCATTCCGCGCTTGATACAAGTGATTAAAGTGAACGACAGCTAGTTCTAAGTTGACATCTTGCAGGACACCTACGTAATTCATAAAAAACCTACATAGTGTCAAAAAAACCAACACAATGTCATCAAAAAACAACATAATGTCACTTTTCAAGTTACGTAATAACCCTGCCGTGCTTGCTTCTATTTGTCGTACTGAAGCACTCGAGTCTCCTTCAACTGCTTGTAGTACGACCGTCTCGTAAGAAAAGGATATTCTTCTTCCACCAAGTGCTTGATTTGGTAATCGTCACTCTGAGAGTAAACGGTGCACGTCCACATAAACTCGGTGACCGGGACGATGAGCAGCATTTGGGTCCCCTGTCACGATAAAGCTCAGCTGCAGCACTAACATTGCATCTACATTCCCCATAAATGAGGTACATGTTGGCATATTCCTGTACCGTGTACACAGACATGGTGGCACTACACAATCATGAATTAATCAAAGTGGCGTTACTGTCTGTCTTGCTGTCACTACGCAGAATGACACTGTCCGTCACGTCGTCTAAGAAAAATTGAAGTTTGTAATAATGGGAACTAGAAGATGTAGGTTTTTCTGATATTTTTTTGATTTTTTAAAGCCTATAATTTGAAAAGTACACGATGTTTTTTTATATTTTTCTGATAACGATTATGACTTGGCGTATCTCCCATTTCCGGCTTCACGACTTCTAAGATACTCTGTCCATATATGTTAAACATAAGCCAATGGGGTACTGTTTTTTTCACTAAATAGGTACATATATTAGACCAGCGGGCAAGATCGTATTTCAGAAAACAATTTCAAACGTGTTAATAAATATGCGTGCACCAAAGCTCATCTATATATCTCAATACATATATCAAAAATTCAAGGTGAATTATAAAAGACTGATAAATTTAGACACAAAATCTATGTATATACGAACTGTTTCCCATATTTTAATGAGCTGAATCTGATCTTCAATTTCCGTATACAACATTCTGTGACAACTTGTGAATAACATTATTTGTGTAATGATATTAAAAAATACCCCTGGCTTGCAAAATAATTGTAAAGTCTGGTTTTATTGCTGCAAGTTGTTCAAATTCGTATTTAAAACATGGACGCACAAAATGAGTACACCAATTTTTGTGGAAAAACTTTTTATTCGACAACAAAGAATGAGAAAACGTGTTTTTTGGGAGTCAATCGAAAGTGTTGGCAGAAACGGAAAAACTCTGAATATAAGATTTTTAGGTATTTACGAGACCTACAAAATGAGACTACACGTAAAGAGATCCAGCCAATAGCAAAAAAGTTATGACCGAAAATCGAGGCAAACTGTAGGTTTCTTCAAATTCGTAGGATTCCTACTTCTAAATAACCACAACAAAATTGGAGTAAATTGGTCAAGTAGTTTTTGAGAATTTCTAAATGTTTATCCCAAAACACCTGTTTTCCGGCCATCACTACTAGTTTATTGAGCAATATGATGATATGTATCGCAAACCATTCTGGAAGATAAATGTTATTTTTATGCAGAAAAGGATGGGTTACGTTTTTTCTTCTAGACAAATTCAAACATTTCGTATTTGTGAGTAATTCACAACAACAGATGATAGACACATCCACATTGTTTTAAAATGTGTATGGTAACGTATGTTTTTCGAATACCGTAGGGCATTTGTTCAATTACTCACAAAATAAAAAATATTTGAATTTGTTTAGAAGAAAAAAAACGTAACCTCCGTTTTTTGCATAAAAATAACAGTTATCTTTCGGAATGGTTTGTGATTTATATCGGCAAGGTAAACACGTGTATTTTGCTATTAAATGCTCTTTGAAGGAACCCTGTTATTGCTCAATAAACTAGTAGTAATGGCCGGAAAACAGGTGTTTTGGGATAAACAATTAGAAATTATCAAAAAACTACTTGACCAATATATTCCAATTTTGTTGTTGTTACTTAGAAGTATGAATCCTACGGATTTGGAGAATTTCAAGTAGTTGCGTGAAATTATCGTCGCATTACCAGCAAGTGCCAAAACCTGCATTTTGCCTTGTTTTTCGGCCATAACATTTTGCTATTAGTCGGATCTTTTTACGTGTGGTCTCCTTTTGTAGGTCTCATAAATACCTAAGAATCTTATATGAGGAGTTTCTCCGTTCCTGCCAACACCTTCGATTGAATCCCAAAAAACACTTGTTCTCATTCTTTGTTGTCAAATAAAAAGTTTTCCCCACAAAAATTGGTGTACCCATTTTATGCGTACTTGTTGTAAATACCCGCTTGAACAACTTGCACCAATAAAACCAGACTTTACAATTATTTCGGGGAAATTTGCTAACATGATTAGACTATATACATATAAACACAAAACAAGTTAGGTCTCTGCACACTGTGCTTTAGAACGGTGTTATTCATGCGTATATTAGGTACTTCTGCTGTTTAGACGTTTTCTGAAATATAGATACTCACTTAGCCACCTGTGATCCTATGAATGTTTTGCCAGTTTGGAGTCTTGGAGCATACGCCCTCATGTACGGATCTACACTTAAGTACACTGCTTCCGCAAGGAATTCTATGGAATAAAAACGGAGAAAACCTCAGTAAATTATGTGTTCTAATTTAAATTTCACCAATGCCTAGTTATTTTCTAGAGACTTTGGTGTTGTTAAATTCTTCTCGGCTTTCGGAAGTGCTCGGATACTTCCGTGGTTTCGTTCGGGTTTGAAATTATCGATCACTATCGATTAGGGATGTTCCGATCCACGAAAAGTATCGATACATGTATCCATTCGTATCGCTTTAAGAAGTATCGATACTTTAAGATATCGGAATAAAAATATCGATACCAGAAGTCCGATACGGAACATACACCGCTAAAAGCGAAGTTGTTTTTTCTACAATCCTCAAAATAATGTTTACTTTTTTCAACTGCATGACTAGATTGTCAAATAAGTTTACTAATAAAAAATAGGTCAAAAACCTGACAATTGCATAACTTACATCTCCCACCTAAACTGGATTATACAAAATAGCTCCTCATATCAGTTCTTACAGGAGGCATCACTATTACAATAATGTTTCGTTATAAACCATAATATTTAATCAATCAAAACTAAAACCACTGTGTGTCGTTTAGCTCAGTTTCCTAAGTCGAAATGTAAAAATCTTCTAAATTCAGAACTTCTTGAATCCTAAAATATTTCTTTTTGAGCGATATGTTTTTTGAATGTCGCTAAATACCCCAAAAGGTAAAAGTAGTTGTTTTGAATCGAAAGACAAGTAAATACGAGTAGATTATGGTAATATCATTAATAAAATTTTACATAATAATACCTCCCCAGTAAAATATGTTTCCACAAAAGAAATCAAAACAAAAATCCACAAAATTTTCCCCGTTGAAATAAAAATCCTCTGATTTTTGGGAGAACACCCTAGTATAGCAACCCTGGAATCCAAAATAAATTATTTGAGGTCGTGAAGCGAAAGGAAACAAAGGAGAAAAGTAATATGAAGTTAATCACTCTTTCTAACACAGTCCGGATCGAAAGATAACGATACTCGTGAAATGTATCGATACACCCAAGTATCGTATGTAAAAATATCGATCCAAAATATCGAGTATGGAAAGCAAAAGTATCGAAGCTACTAAATATCGGATCGTACAGATAGAGCTTCCCTACTATCGGTATGATCGGTATATCGTGGATCGATCAAAAATGGTGTCAAAATGTTCTACGCAATAGTATAGTATATATGTTTTGTAATATGACCTTTGATAATGGTTTCCTTTCGTTTTCTTTTTTAGTCAGGAATTCAAGATTGAAAATTTGATGATTGGGTATATCTTCGTATCTAATACCGGATAATATGTTTCGAAAAAGGATTGCACTTACCTCCATCTTTAATAGGCGACAATTCTTCCTCAACAAGCTTAAAATCTGTTGGCTTAGGAAAACCAACAAACTGCTTCTCAAAAATATAAGCTTTTGCACTTAAACACTTATTGCTTAACATTTGCATATGTATTTTCAAAACCGAGGCAGTTCTTGCCGTTATATTCATTCGATGACAAGATAACATTTTGAATTAAGTATGCCTTTATATATAAAAACAAATGGAATAGTTGCAAATCATCCACTACTTGTCTGTAAGTACCTAGGTACTCATATATGAAAAACAATCGATGTAAAATGTATGTTTATAAATTTACGTATTTACACCGATAAGAGTACACAAGGTCAATATGGTTTTACTATCCTTCTTAAAAACATTTGCATAGAAACTTGTTAAGGTCTAAGGTGGAATGTCCCTTTCTTTCACTGCCTATTTGGGGCAGTATTCTAAATAATTTTGATCTTATTGTTTCATGGTGTGCATACAGATTTCTAAAAAACAATGTTACCAATTTTTTCAACAAAAATTGCATTTTGTCTTCAATCGTAATGTTATCAAGTATTAGTACCTCTGAAATTGTATGTGAATATTCCATTTTTATGGTTTTTCAGTCGGCATCAAACGCTGAAATCCGTCATTCCCTGAAATACTTAGTCAGTCCTCGTATCGCCGGCAAACACCGTGACAGTTTGATTATTACAACGTTCGACTAAGCATGTCAGTCATTCCCTGTAATGACTGAACAATTTCGGTCAAACACCGTTACAACCACATTAACTTCGTTACCAGTGGCGAATTTAGAGGGCCGCGCGTGTGATACGTGCTTTTGTAATCTAACACCATTGTGCTAAGTTCTGTCACATCATGGCGATAGAGGCATACTAACTATAAGTTATAGCTAAGTATAGGAACTGAGCATTGCGATTTTTTGGTATCCTTTGGTGTTCCAAATGCTGCCTCTCTTTGACATCACTTGTTTACAGCACAATTCTTACGATTTATACGTATATACGAGTATTGTGACTTGTGACAAATCTAAGTCTGGGTAATATATTAGCTATACAGATTGCACTTAAAAAGCGATTTATGTTCTGTTTGTTGCTCAATAGGAATTTGAAAAGTGTGTAAAGCTTGACTGATTTGGTTTGGGGTTAGTGTTGCAGCAAAGCACTATGTTAAATGAACCCCTAAATTGCAAATAGACATTTATGAGATTTGTTTAGCGGTGCGCCCGTGGCCTGACCAGAAACTGCGTCGATCGATGCTCAAAGTCAATACACACGTCCCGCATCTCTTCCCGCGTATGTGTCTATTTATGTTGATATATTGAATTCGTTTAAATCACAGAGCTGCTACACTACACGTGAATATGTACAGCCCTGTATTCCTGTACTTGTTTCGTACAAACATACATTATCAAAATAATTACGATCTAACAGATATAGTTTTTTCCAACGATTTCCAATATTTTTACATGCGATCAACACCTTTTCGAAAACTGAGAAACCAACATCTATGCCGAAAATCCAAGTTCGACAACGAAAGTCTGAAAAATAACTGTAATATCTAGATTGAATTTCAAAAACCCCAACCCCTACTGAGCGGGGCCGTGGCAAATGCTTGTTTCGGAAGTTGATGTATCCAGTATACAACTTCTTCCCGTTCAAGTGGTTCAAGTTCAACGGGCCGCTTTTGATCTATTTAATATCATTAACACGTAATAAGAAGGTGGTAGACAAGGACCAGTGGACCGAGGCGGTACCACCCGCTAGCTTTTCCCAGGGTCTTATAAATGTCCGTATGTTTCCACACCTAAGCTATGCAGTCGGTTATCTGCCAAAACAAAGAAATTAATGATGATGGATCTCTCGAGTACTAAGAATTCCAGACGTAAGCTCACCGCACTCTCTGAAAGTCCGGGTGAAAGGTGGACTCGAGGGAACAACATCGAAGATAAAATTTATTTCACTAACATCTACGGGATTAACAGCAACATTGATGCTGTTCATCACTACTTGCAATCCAATCGTTCCGTTATGCTTTTCTTGGCGGAGACAAAAATCTCAGAGTCCGCACCGTATAACCATCTTAGCTTCCCAAATTACGAGGTGCACTCCAATCTGAGGAAAAACGGGGGAGTTGTAGCCCTTGTTCGCAGTAGTCTTTCCTACTGCAGAGATGTTTCTCTGAAATCAGACTGGAAGAACACTCTGTGGCTTCGCCTTAACTCCAAATGTTCCCCAAAATTTGCTGCCTTAACATCAATCACCCCGCTTCAGAGGTAGTTCTCCTCGGTGACCTCAATGACCATAATTTGGTTTGGTTGGGCTCAAACAAAACGTTAGGTTTCGGTCACAACCCGCTGTGGCAGCAGAAACCCTTAACGCCCTGTAAGAAGGGTTTTGACATTGTCACATTTGCGAGCTTGAAGGTTTTCACGAGTTTGTTGGAAAGAAAAGCTATTTTAACATGGAGCTTGACCCAGGAGGGTTCAAAGAGGAAGCAGTACCACTGATAATGGGGAAGGAGCTGAGCGGCGGCGAATCACGTTCAAAAACTGAAAACATGGACCCATTGACGCAGATGTCATCGGAGCAGAAAACCAACGAGAAACTGATGATGATTATAGACGACCAGGCGAGGCAAATCCGAGAACTCATGCAGACAATCAAGGACCAGACGGCTAAAATTGACAGCCTGGCCGCCCAGGTAACTCTTTTAATAAGTTCGAAAGAATCCCCCAAAGAACGGACAAACAGCCTAAAGAGACAGCTACGGACCATTACCGACGATCAATATACAGGGTTTGTCCGGAAAGTAATAGGACTCATTTTCTTCCGCCATGACTGCACTTCGGAGCGTGCGCGCACCGACTGGATTCGGTAGAGTGCGTTCCTAGCTAACGAATGAGCTGCTGGTCAGTTGTCTCCGAGCGTTTGGAGAGTCAGGACAGGCATTTTCGCGCGACGTGTTTCTGTGAGTGGTGCAAGCCGAAAATGCAGCGTTCGTTAGAGCAGAGGTACGCAATTAAATTCTGTGTGACTAAGTATTCGTTTAACTGCCCAGATGTTAAATTTACCAAAATCTGTGGTTCATGAAATTGTGACACAGCATTTGAGCAGGCGCAAGGTGTGCGCGAAGATGGTCCCAAAAGTGCTCACTGACGACCAGAAATTGCGGCGAGTGGAAGTGTGCCAAGAAAATTTGAACATGTGTGAAAGTGACCCCCAATCTTTGAATAACGTAATCACAGGTGACGAGTTGTGGATCATTGAGTATGATCCCGAGACAAAGAGGCAATCTTCCGAGTTTCACACGACGGCGTCTCCTCGCCCAAAAAAAGGAAGAATGAGCAAATCCCAAGAGAAAACGATGCTCATTGTCTTTTTTGACATCAAAGGCGTCGTCCACCATGAATTTGTTCCTCCTGGACAAACCGTCAACGCCAAGTTGTACGTGGAAGTGCTCAGGAGGCTCAAACGAAGGGTCAGTCGGGTCCGACAAGACATCGCAGCCGACTGGAAGTTGCACCACGACAACGCCCCGGCTCACACCGCCTTTCTTGTGAACAGCTACCTGACCAACGCCGGCATCCCAACGCTTCCGCAGCCGCCCTAAAGCCCAGATGTGCCCCCCCCCCGAACTTTTTTTGTTTCCTCGCCTGAAAAGGCCGATGAAATGCAACCATTTTGAGACGACAGAGGGAATCCAAGCAGCATGCACCCTGACCAAGGCCGGCATCCCAACGCTTCCGCAGCCGCCTTACAGCCCAGATGTGGCCCCGCCGTACTTTTTTTGTTTCCTCGCCTGAAAAGGCCGATGAACGCCTTCAATGCTTGGAAATCGCGCTAGCTGCGCTGCATCGACGCAGAAGGAGCCTATTTTGAAAGTTTTTAAAGAATTGTAACGATTGGTTCAATAAATTTTTAAATCGACTCAGTCCTATTACTTTTCGGACAAACCCTGTACATCCACGGACGTTGACACACACCGACGGATTTATAAATGCAAAATCTAGAAGGAGGAGAAGCAACGAGACTGACCGACGAGCCGAGGAGTTTCCACCTCTTCCAAATTCAGAGTCCACTCTCTTACGCACCTCCCCCACTTCATCAAAAGAAAATACCAGCCACACTATAATCAAATCCAAGCGAATAACCAAAGTTTCTGTGTTGTGTACCGCGGTTATAATATGGTTCAAGATGACACACGGGTTGATGACGTCAGTTACTCGAATCGCTTGAACGCGTTGGTTTTAACCGCAGTTTTGTTGCAAGTTGTTTATTTTAGAAAAGCGCGTATATAATTTCTGATTATTTTTTTTATCACTTAATAATCGGGACTTTTTCGTCTACAACGGTGTATGTAAAGTTTAAAAAAGAAACCTTTCATAAGATTAATGTGAGAAATGTTTTTTTTTTCAAAACAAATATTTTAATAATGGAATCATTGCTTTGTAACTATGATAACTTTCACTTCTCTAAACCTTTCCGCATGTCAAAGAAAACATCTATTGATTTAGCAGAAATGATAGGAAAAAGAGATTAAAAAAAAAAAGATATTAGCAAAACCGTATACAGGTGGACATCATCCAGTAATTTTATATGGCCATATTTCAATATTCTTGTGGTATATGGCTACACAGGCTACTTTGTTAAGCATAGGAACTAGATTTAAAGTGTCCCCAACAACAGTAATGATTATAACTAATCATGTGCTCTACTTTATGATGAAACTGAAGGCAGCCTGTATCAAGTTTCCCAAAAATGTAGCTGAAGTACAAAAAAATATCCAATACCCGGCAAAATTCTAACTTGTCACATTTCAAATAATAACCAGAAATATAAAACTATTCCTGTGTTGGGTAAATACCACAATTTTACGGTGATAACTATGACATATAACAGCTGATTCATGACGTCACGGATCTCATAACCAAACTGACAACCACACTCGCTTGAACGGATCGGTAAATACCAATACAAAATGGTAAATACCATTTTCATTTGGTTATTCGCTTGAATTTGATGTATGTCTATTACCAAACCTTTGTCATCAGTTGGCGGAGGGACTACATTATCTGCCTCTAAGGTCACCCCCCACCCCGTCGGGCAATGTCCCTTCTCAGCCATCTCGCTCAGCTGACGTGGCATCAAGCCAACCTTCACGCCAAAGGCGCGTACCGCCTATTGTTCTGCGTGATGGGGCGAGGGGGGTACGTTAAACTACAAATACATTTCCCTAGGCATTAAAATAGAACGCGCGGTTGCTGTCGATGCGGGAATAAGGATTATATTTTATGTTATAATTTTCTCCTATATTCTTATAATATAATCGATACAACGTGGCAATCCGGTTTAGCACGTCACTGGTCGACGAGGGACGTTTTATCCACGTGAAACAGTGACCGCAAATACATCTGTACCTGTGTTGGTTATTTATACTCGTGGATGGGACGTGGCATTTTATCATAAATTTAAATTGTAATCTTCCAAGTAGAGAATGTCCGAATGATGATGATAAGTGTTTGGATGATGTAATTTATTTGTAGATACATCCTGGATCTTGGTCCCAAAAATATAAAAGGGCATATCGAACCCAAAATACTCTGCGAGCTTTGTTATAAATAATAATGCCGTGTAAACATATGTATTAGTCATTATTAAAGGAAAATCATCGACCACCTTATTGAAATAATAAGATATGAAAGTGTGATTGAGAATTAATTATAATATCGACGTTATCCCCATTTCATGACTAATAAATTTTAAATATCGCGCCTTGAAAGGGGAAGCGACAATGATAAAGAGTGTCATAGCTGCATTGCCAGATTGCAGAATTTTCATCACAATCACCGGTATTAGCTACCAAGATTTTTACATACTGATATTTCAGATTTGGAAAGCTACAGATTGTTTTCTTGTTATAATTACTTTTGTAATCATGCAATTTTTTGCGTCTATATAATGCTTTTGGCTGAAGCTGATCTTTGTGTGTCGTTCCGTCTTCCTTTGATCTATCCTTTTTTTATACTTATACTATTAACAGTTTCCTAGAGTACATAATTAGTTGTTTTCTGATTGAGTCTAGTACATTTCCTGTGGAATTTTATAGAAAGTACATTAAGCTTCTCCAACTCGATAACATTTGGAAACATTGAACAAGCAGCATTACACAACCATGTTTTTGAACAGACATCCGATCCAATCAAAGCCATCCCCACGCTCCCCATCAATAACCTCATGTTGTTTCTTACGTCGCGATCTCCATCCTGCAACAATTTTGTATTTTGCGAAATGTGCACGTATCTTTATCTTCCTGTAAATTCTAAAGTTTAAGTGTGTTGACAAAAGCCATACTGTGTTCCTGCTCATCGTTTAATGTAAATTCTAAAGTTTAAGTGTGTTGACAAAAGCCATACTGTGTTCCTGCTCATCGTTTAATGAAGAACAGCGTCGTGACAGTATACAGGGTGTCCGCAAAGTTGGGGTTTTCCTTTATACGACGTGTAGATCTTGAAAACATAAGCATTTTTTCTTAGTACCATATACACCAATGTCTTAAGGGAACCGAGATAAAGGGCTCTGCAACATCAAAAATATCTGAATACCGTCCTGTAGCCGCGACCCGGGACATCACCGATTGGTACAAGGTCTCAACCCGACGGCAGAACTGGGTCGGGGTCAGTGTGCCAGGTCAGTATGCAACCTTCAACCGACGGTTACGGTCACGCATGTAGAGGTAATCGCGTAGACGAGAATCCCTCAACAAGCATTAGAGACGTGCTAGAGAAGTGCAAGTATCAAAAACTAAAGTGTGACAAACGCTGCGTGAAGAGGGGCTGTATCCGTTTCACGTCCAACGTGTACAAGCCCTTCAACCTGACGATTTTCCAGCAAGAGTGCGGTTTTGTGAGTGGTTGTTGCATCAACATGACAATAATCCGGACTTTTTGAAGTGCATATTGGTGACAGACGAATCTACGTTCACGCGTAATGGGGTGAATAACTTTCGCAACACTCATGTTTGGTCAGTAGAAAATCCGCACGCTGTCCGTCGGGCACATGTTCAACAAACATTTTCGGTGAATGTTTGGGCTGGCATGGTGAAAGGTATGCTCATTGGACCATTTATTCTCCCAAATCGATTGGACGGGATGCAATACTTAGACTTTTTACGCAACATTTTGCCTTCCTTGTTAGAAGATGTGCCATTACGTGTAAGACAATCAATGTGGTTTCTGCGTCTGCTCGGTAGCGCTTCAGCTGATTTCATTTTCTGTTGGAGCGGTATGATTTCGGGCAGAGACGTACTTAGCCCTTCTCGTCAACTGGAGAGTGAGTACTTTTTCCTTTATTTTTTTTACTTGGTCGCCCTCGTTTCACTACACATTACCTTTGTCATTTCAAGGGTAGTTGTTTCTGAAAAGGAAAACCCCAACTTTGCGGACACCCTGTATATGCCTTTGTATGAGCCATAGGCATAGGAATATAATTTTCAGATGAAATTGTTGGTGGTGCTTGATATTGCCATAGTGCATGAAAAGTGGCTGACGCTGAGAAAGAAACGGGTGTGGTGGCCACCACCCACCATATAAGCAGCAAGTACGAGTAAGGAACAAGTACCGTATAAGCAGTACGATATCGGAAGTGTTTTTTTGAGGACGGTAGGTATATTCTTCAAACTTTACCTATAATTAAGGGCCGTATCGCTATCGTCAGTCGTCCCAACAATTATTGTAGGACGGCTTTATGGCCTCCTTGATTTTCACAGTTGTCCACTGTTCCGTTTTACCGCTCGATTTTGAGGTTATGTTACAAATATCTATTTGCACCAAAATGTTCATACTTCTGATTTATATCTATTTTATCAGCCTGAAATTTCCTACGATTCAAGAAGAAAACATAACTTCACAACCGCAGCCTTTTGAAGAGGAGAAAATACTATGAAAATCAAGGAAGCCATAAAGGCATCCTTGAACTGTAAGAATGACTGACAATACGGCCCTGAAATGTTTTAATTACTCTCTATGACAGTCATCAAGGAACAGCATCAATTCAATTTGAATATTTTCCGGACAGAATACTACTTCTAGGCTTCGCCAAATATATTGAACTCATTTTTGATCCAAATATTATTTACCACCTTCATCCAGTCAATCATCACGAGAAATCGTCGTCAGACAGTGACGTCGATTCTATCTCACACTTCGCCCATAAATTAACGGACTTTCCACCTTGAAAAGAGGCATGGAAACGACGTGTATAAATCACGTGGAATCGCTGTCAGAAAATGACGTCGATTCTATCTGACATTTCGCCCACAAATTCAACGGACTTTCCACTTCGAATAGGGCCGTGAATACTACGTAAAGAGGTAGATTCATTTTACGTGAAATATACGTGTCTTTGCTGCCTGGGATAGCTCTCTCCACATCATTCCATTGAAGCGCAGCGGCGGCGCGCCCATGCCTTTGGTGGTCGTGATACAGCCCTAGACTGAAAAATCTCAGCAAGTGTTCAACGAACACGAACTGCTGGGACTGGCCATTCGAGTTGAGGTTCAGAAGAGCTCCAGACTCATTGGGCAATGTCACCACTGCCAAAAGTACGGGTATGCGCAGTCATATTGCACTGCACCGCCCAAATGCTTAAAATGTGCAAAGGACCACATGACGCATTTGTGCTCCCTCACAGAAGAGGAAGAGCGCAAACTGTGAAGAGGCACATCCCGCAAATAGCCGGACTTGCAAGTTCACTCCAAGGAGGAACTTGCAAATTATATCGCAAAGCCGCAATCGAACATACGCGGACGCAGCTAAGGAGGCAACCTTTCCTGCCCCCTCTGCCCAACCTCCCTTGAACACGCAAAATGTGGACCTGGCAACCGCGCTAAGGTCCCTACAACAAATAATATGCCCACTGATTAGCGCTACCCAAGCGTTGCAGGCCATATTCCCTGTAAATGTCTAGGTACAACAGTAGACAGCCTGCATTCATCAAAATTCTTTTTTGGAATTGTTTGGGCATGAGGGATATTCCCAAAGAACGGGAATTTCATCAAGCTCTTTTGGATGAAGGTATAGATGTGGCCTTGCGGCAGGAAACTTTGCTTAATCCGGGAGATCGTTTAGCTCTCCCGAATTACGATGTTATCCGAGGTGACAGATTGAACGGTCGAGGTGGCGGGTTAGCAGTATTGATTAAGCGCAGTATAGACTGTTATAGAAGCACTAATGCGGAGATGCATGGCATCGAAGCAGCTTCTGTGGTGATCAATATGGCGGGAGGTGCCTCGTTGAAGATCACATCGGTGTATGTCAGGTTTGGTGCCAGGCTACAAGAGGCGGATCTGGAAGTCATTTTGGACTACTCGGGTCCGCTTATTGTGGCAGGGGTCTTCAACTGCAAACATCGAGCATGGAATTCTAGGTGGAATTCCACTAGTGGGATTCGATTGTACAACCATGTGATGCGAAATGGGTACCTTATACATAGCACTGAAGAACCGACACACCATCCGTTCAACCATCTTCAGGCACCAGATGTGATCGACATCGCGATATCTAAAAACTGTAGATATAGTATTTCTCGAATCTAGTATGATAGTGACCATCTACCTGTTGTCTTGGAAGTGGGCAATGAGCAAACTTCTAAGGAGGAAGCTCCTCCAAGGAAACGCATTGATTGGGAGCTATACAAGTTGCTCCTTAGAGAGTTTCCCAATATCCCGATTATAGATAATGAGTCTGGAATAGATGCCGCTCAAGCGGAGTGGACAAGTTTCATTCAAGCAGCTCTACAGCGTGCAGCTGTACTTCCTGTACAACGACACGGCAGACCTTTTTTTTCCTGCGGACATTCGTCAGAAAATCTCTGACAAAGGAGCCGCTATTAAGCAGACAAAAAGGTCTTGCCATCCTGATGACATTCGTAGGGCTACAAATCTTGTCCATGAAGTGAGATACGCACTGCATGAACTCCGCAACGAGCAATGGAGCGACTTTCTGGCGGGAATGCTTGATTCAAGTATTCCTCTCTGAAGGGTCACAAAGTCACTCAGAAACTGAAAGCGATAACAACTCCCGCACATCCACGGTCCTGAAGGCATAGTCTTCAGAACGGAGGATAAGGTCAAGGGTTTCGCGATGCCATGGAAAAACAGTTCTCTCCCAAGTATGAACTTGATAATGACCTCGACGAGGAACAGCACATCGTACGATCCGTCAGGAGATATTTTAGGGTCAACGGCGTTAGCGGAGGCACTGAATCCTCTTCAGATGACTCTTCTTCAGAAGATTCGTCTGCGGCTCCACATAGCACATTAGCGGAACCCTCCGAGTTTCCACATTGCACACCAGCGGAGCTCCTAAACCATATTAAAGATCACAAGGTGCGTAAAGCACCTGGGGAGGATCAAATCACCAACAAGGCGTTGAAGCCCTGACATATTTGGTGACAATAATCAATGCGACGCTCAGAATCCAGTACTTCCCTGCTGAGTGGAAGACTGCTGAGGTCATCATGATTCCAAAGAACGTGGGTTCGATATGTCCTCAGGATTACCGTCCCATAAGTCTGCTGTCAGCTCCTTCTAAGCTCGCCGAAAAGGTGATTTATCGTCACCTTGAGAATTTTTCGTCAGGTCACCATGTGATTCCTGACGTTCAATTCGGTTTTCGGTCAGAGCATAACACCGAGCTACAGGCAGTCAGGCTGGTGGAACATGTAACCAGAGGGTTCATCCTCAGTAAGAGTACTGGCATCTTGCTTTTGGATGTCTCAAAAGCCTTTGACAAGGTGTGGCTCACGGGCCTCCTTTATAAACTAATCCAAAAGGGTTTTCCTTTTTGGCTTCTAAAATTACTGAAATCCTTTCTTGAAGGAAGGAAGTTTCGGATCAAAATTAACAATGTTTTGTCAACAACACGGCCAGTGCGGGGCGGTGTTCCTCAGGGTTCGGTCCTAGGACCAATCCTTTATTCGCTTTTTATCCATGATGTCCCTTGCCTCAGCAACTGTGAAGTCTACCTCTATGCTGTCGACACTGCACTTATCGCCCAGTCGTGTACTGATGATCTAGTTCACGATGGGTTGCAAAGTGCGGTGGAAGAAGTACTAAAGTGGGCGGAACGGTGGCTGATTAAAATTAAACATTCGAAAGCGCTGGCTATTTATTGTACCAAAACACGTCGCGGCCCACCAGCAGAGGTATCTGTAGACGGCAATCGTGTACCATGGACAAATTCTACCAAGTACCTCGGTGTCACAGGCATGACCTGGCAGAAACATACAGCAGACTTGAAAACGAAATTCCAAATTGCGTTTCGGCAACTATATCCTTTGTTATGTAGATCCTCCAAATTGAGTTTGATAAACAAAGTTCGCCTATATAAAATTATTATTAGACCAGCCATTACTTATGCATGTGCGTGTTTTCTTGCCAAGATACATATGCAAAGTCTTCAAGTACTGCAAAGTAGAACTTTGCGAACAATTTGCAACGCTCCATGGTATGTCTCAAACGAGACACTACACAGAGACCTTGACATTCCTTACTTGAGGGATTATGTCAAACTTCAGGCACAGCGACGTTATAGTCAAGCGGAATCGCACAGCAAAGCTCTGTTGCGCGACTCAGTGGACTACACAGTGGAGCAAGTTCGTAAACATTCAAGGCCACGGCTCGCACTGTAAGTACACTTAAAATTACACTCTAACAAAATTGAATCAAAAATTTGTTTAGTTTACCTCAAAATTAATCCGTGTACCAAGCCAAAAAGCCTCTCCTTTTAAACTAAACACTTCTATTTTTCTTTTCTCTTCTCCATTTTTTCCTCCTCTTTCCCTTTCTCTTCCTTTACATTGTCTGGTTTCTGGGCAACCAGTACTGACAGATTCAACTAACGTACATTAGACAGTGACTAATGGGCAAAGGTCCTACGGACCTCCCAGACAAACAGAAGAGTAGCAGAAACTCGCACAGGCCGCAAAATTTGGAATTACGGACATGCCGACTGGGAGGGGCTCAGAGACTCCTTCTCTACCTTTCCTTGGAGAGATGTCTGTTTTACTGGGAGGAGTAATACATCCCTCGTACAGTAAAAGCCTAAGCCACGGTCCAACAGCTGGTTTAACAAATCCTGTGACACTGCTCGCCAGCAGAAGATCGAGGCACACAGAACCTTCTTACAAAACTCCACTGTAGAGAACAGACAAGCCGACGTCGGGTCCAGAAGCAAATATAACGAAGCGGTTCGTAATGCCAAAAACTAGCACGATATAAAAGTTAGGCACAGGGTGATGTCGCGGCGCAATGGCAGTCGGTCTTTCTGGACGCTGGTCAAGCAGATTGAAAAGAACATCTAACACAGTAGCCTTCCACCACTTACGTGTTAGGATGGAACGATTGTATCGGACTCAAAGGCCAAGGCGGAAGTGCTTGCCAAGATCTTTGCTGCCAACTCGACCATGGACATCCCCTCCAACGCCCAAGTACCGTCAGTTCAAAGGGTTCCCTACACTATGCAGGAGGTAACATTCAGACATAAGACGGTAAGACGAGTGATCTTGTCGCGCGACATCAACAAAGCTTCTGACCCAAACTTGATTCCTGCCATTGTACTGAAGAGGTGTGCATCGGAGCTTGCTCCAGTTCTTTTGCATCTCTCCCAAAAAGGGATCTAAGACCGACCATTACAATTACAGGCCTATATGTCTGCTTTCTGTTATAAGCAAGGTGATGGAGATGTGCCTAAATCGCGAGCTTCTGGACTACCTTGAACGTTACAGCTTCATTAGCGACAGGCAGAATGGTTTCCGGCTCCAGCGCTCCACTGGGACCTCCTAGCTTACGTCACGCAATTGTGGAGTAAACTCATCCAGTCTTATGGTGAGGCTCATGTCGTTGCTATTGACATCACGAAAGCGTTCGATCAGCTGTGGCCCGCTGCCCTTTTAAGCAAACGTCCTTCCTATGGTCTCTCAGAAAAGCTTTGCAGATGGGCGGCTGACTTTATCTCTGGCCGCAAGATATCCGTCGTAAATTGATGGGTTCTCCTCTTCATCCCACAACGTCAACGCTGGTGTTCCCCAGGGATCGGTCTTGGCTGCAACACTGTTCCTCTTACATATCATCCACCTCCTTTCCTGCATGATCAACCCAATCCACAGCTTCGCTGATGACAGCACTCTACATGCAGGAATTCAGAGTGACAAGCCGATCTCTGCCGCTGAGCTGCACAAAAGAAGAAGCGTCGACTTCCTCTTTGACGACGAGAGACCTGGAGTTTAATGCTTCAAAAGCACAGTACTGTACCTTGACGAACAAAAAGCGCCAATATTTTTACATGCGATCAACACCGATTCGAAAACTGAGAAAACAACAACTATGCCGTAAATCTAAGTTCGACAATGAAAGTCTGAGAAATAACTGTAACATCTATATTGAATTTCAAAAAATAATTGACTATACCTATTGATATTTTTATCACCTGCTGATATAATAGAATAAGTGCTTGATTGTGTTAAGTATTTGCACCATTTACTTGATTTGGTTAATGGGCAGTTCAGAGTCTTAATCTTTGAGTTTAGTACACACTAGCAGACCCCGTTACACAACTTGTCTATAGGCAGTCTGGAGACGGTCTCAAGATACGATCTATAGATGGTCTATTGACATCCTTATTTGTCTTGTCTAGCGTCCATACGATAATGTGAATTTTTTGGACTCTCTCAGAATGTTTTATCTATTTTTTTCGGTTAACAGTTATTGTGTTTGAATCTTTAATATTATTACACTAGTTAATTATAAATGCTACATACTTATTTTGTTCTCTTATAATAAAATATTGCGTTTCTGAAGATTTCTGAGAATTTCCCTTTTTTTTAAACTGGCCTTGATTAGATAGAACACAAGCAATAATGGGATAAATTCTAGAAGTTCCACCGAGGTTAAAACACGACCAGCCCCAAATATCGTTTGCGCTCTCCTAGATCCGCCCTTGTTTGTTACTGCATTTGCCTGATTCAGTCATTCATTGTACCAGTTTTGTGTTCATTTGCTTGAGTATACACATAGTCTTTTCTGTGTTTGTAAAGATGTCACAGTATTCAGAATTGTTTTACAAGAAACAAGACAAATGAGGATTTAAGTTAATTTCTATAATTTTGTGAACCTAACCTAAATTATAACGTACCTACGTACCTGTACATAGGCTTGCTCAACAGCAGCATCCATTGTTCATTGTTGCCGTTGCCGGATTTCGTATATAAATATGACCTTGATTAAAAAAATATATTACTTATCCACACTGGGACTTATTTATATCAACAATACACTTCCTCGATGAGCGTTTCGCCATCAGGAGATTATATCAACTCTTATTTGGTTTGAAAAACGCGCATCGTGTATTGCGGTATTGTGAATATTTATAACTCTAGAAAAAAAAATTAAATAAATTAGTTAGTTAAATTAGTCGATAAAGAACGTCACTGCAGGTTGCTGCAGTAATTTTACTGGCAAAACAGAGTTCAGGGAAAAAAGGTCTAGAAGACAGTACCACTGTTGAAACATGTAAAGTCTGTCAAGAGAAAAAAGAACAAATTACCCTCTAATTTGATGATAAAACCTATCATTTCAACGAATTTCAACACTAGGGGGGACTTCCAATTGTGAATTCCGCTGGTTGCGTAATTATCAAGATCATTTAACCAAATTTTTATTCTTACGCATTAGAGGTTGCAAAGGAACTATTAAAAATATTTTTGAAAATTGGGTCACCAAGTATACTTCTAAGTTAATGGACGTGAAGTTACTACGACAATAATCTCATAAATGCTTAAAATGTGGCATTCATTGAAAATACTTCATGGTCGTCCCAGGCATCCACAGTCACAAGTATCGAGCGAAGTAACCAGGATGTGGAAAACATGTTGAGGGCGTGGATGTATGATCATAATTCAAAAAACTGGTCACTGGGTTGTTATTTCCGCCAGTTTCAAAAAAACTGTTCATATTATAAAGTTATTGGACGTACACTGTACAAAGCTTTATTTGGAGTTGACCTGAAGATTGGTTTGTGTGCTAAGAGTATTCCTAAGGATTTATTGGACACCATCGAAAGTGAAGATCATGTGACTTTTATTGGAAGGAAGGGCGAACAAATCTCTGTATATTTGCACCAGAGCAGTCCAATAATGATGTCTCAATTTCCGACTTGTATGAAAGTGGATTTAATAAAGAAAATGAACATACGGAAAATACAATAGAATCAGCTGAAGGTTACCTTCTTCCAAGTTCTGAAAAAAAAGTGATGCTGACAATCAGTGTGGTGAAGAAGAACCGAGGAAAGAGCTTTTATGTTAAATGCCCTGAAAATGGAGGTAAATGTATATTATGTATGAATAAAACATCAATGGGCACATTAAGTCTTGGTTCAACCGTCCTGATTTATTGCTAAACGTTATTCCTGATAAAGTTTTATCAATACGTGAAGCTGTACAGTCACTTCCGCAGTGTTTATCCAATAGATTTTTTTTCATTGTGTATTTATTGTCATATTTCTTTCAATAGTTTCAGAATATTTCTTGTTGATTTAATACAATAATGTAATAATAAAGATAATGTTTTAATCTATTCTTCTTTCCTTTTAGATAAATTTATGGTTGATTATTTTTCTTTCAATATTATTGGTAAAGTAGTACCTTGTTATATTATGTACTTCATTGGAGCAACACTGTATTGATTACAGTATTTGACTGAAATAGGCGAATGCAGTAACAAAGTTAATGTGGTTGTTACAGTGTCTAAAATTGTTCAGTCATTACAGGGAGTGATCGAAATGCTTAGTCTAACATTGTGATAATCAAACTGTTATGGTGACTGCCGGCAATACAGCGACTGACTAGGCATGTTAGGGAATGACTGATTTCAGCGTTTGACGCCGACATATACCATGAAATAATCAGTTTAAAAGTATTAAGAATACTCCTTAGACAGGCTTTTGGAAAAAAGGGACATGCAACATTAAGATGCATAGTGAAATCAAAGCAACAAGCAATTTTTTTGTTATAGATGATCAGCTATAATAAAACACTGCACACCATGTTTTCTCTATATTTAAGATAACTATTTATAACTGAATCGTATATCACTGGTTTAACCACTCTGTAAAATATGTACAAGCCTTAGCATTTATTAGCCCCATATCCCCACACCTATGGGCCACAGGACATATCCCACAAGTAGTTTTAACAAGACCTGGAGATGGCAAAAACCTATTCACTGCTTTGTAGAGATATGATCCATTTGCAGCAACTATTCTCTCAGCATTATTGTCCAACACCACAGTATATAAAATACTTTCTATGTCTGCTACTGTTAAAGGCACATTGCTGATTCCTAGCTCAGATATAAACTTGTGAACATCATTTGCCGTGGCATAGCTTCGATTTCTGATCAAAAGGGGGCCTCCACCTTTCTTGACAGCTTCTTCCCATTTTTCTTTAAGGTACCGTTGGCATTGTTGGCTCAAGACATCAACAAATTCTGATTCAAAGTCTTGATCTTGGTACCAAGCACCTCCTGTGACTGAACTGTCTGGCTCCAAATCATACAGCATGTAAACCTTCTTTTTGCTTGCTGATACTGATTTCACAGCTTTGATAACCTTTTTTGTCTCCAAGCTTTTCAAGACTTTGTTCAACTGAGTCATATTTAAGTTTGACTTGAATCTAATGTCTCTAATCCATATTCCTTTATTTCCTGCTTCTTCTATAATTTTGTAAACCACTTTTTCTTCATTATCAGCACCTTTGACAGTAGTTTTCTTAGATGGATCTTTGTATTTGTAGTAAAGCTTGTCCTTTGTTTTGAATAACTCGAAAGTACCGTTTTTCAAGAACTTATTTATTACGTTTGTCAATTCTGTTAATGAAATATCAGGTATTTGCTCTTTTATATCGTCGTTTGAGATTCCTTCCACATTAGATTTTGCCAGTTCCAACAAACGAAGTTCTACAGCACTCGCTTGTTCAGTTTCAGGTATGACTTCGACTGTATCAGCCATTTTTAAGTTCCACAAATATGACTGTGAATTTCAAAATTAAATGTTTTGGAATAAATAATTTTTGAAAAATCAATCCGTGCTTTCAAAATAAGAGCTTCTATGGACTTTAAATGTCAAACACATGTCAAGGTCAAGTATACATATATATATATATATATATACTTCAAACAGTGGTAATGGTTCTCGATCGGTAATGCAGTAATTGAACAAATAATTTATAGATGTCACTAGCGCTAGATCTTGGTGACATCTATACGGTAGCGTATTTAAGTTTTATTTTTCGTTACAGATTTCTATATCAGTTACACTGACGACATCTCTAATACTAATAGTAAACAAACCATCTTTCATAAATTTTTGTGCCAATTTCACCATTATTATCACAGATCACAGTGATCACAGATTATATATGACAGTTATGACACCTATAAAGGAAATGCATGATTAGATTAGCTTCGTACAGACATCTGTAATAAAACTTTTGGCATAAATTACCAAAAAAATTTTGTTTGTTGATGGTCTGACGTTCATGTTTTCATAGCATGGTGTATTTTTATTTATAACAGCAGTTTAATTGGTAATCCCATGCAAACATGATTCTAAGAGATAGAATATCCGGTTTATGACATAATAGTGTCATTGTGCCAGAGATGTATACACCCTCAAAATTGTCAATTATTTTTTTCCATTTCTAGTTGCAAAATTGTTGAAATACCACCTTATGAAGACTTGGAGGTGGATAACATTCTCGATTTAGAAGTAGCCACTATGTTGTGGCATCTCTTTGAATGATGAGTACAAGCTTAAGCTCAGGTATGTTGTTATAATAACTGGTTTCACATTGTATCTTTCACACATAATTTTCAGCCTTGATTCCGCAAATCTACAGAGAAGTATTTGATGCTTGTTCCAATGATGGAAAGCCCATACATATGGAAGTTTATAACTACCTCCTTTCAAATAATGGTTTATCAAATAGTGAGGTGAACACTATCCGAACTCTTGCTGGTGCTACAGATAGCGAAATAAACAGGACTTGTTTATATAAAACCCTAGCCCTAATAGCATGGGCACAACAAAAAAGGCAGTTGTCAGATAAGCTTTTTGAGAATTGTACAGAAAAAGGTTGGTGTTAGATTTTCATTTTAAAAAAAAATATAGAAAGCAGAATAATGTATTGCTCAGTTGTAACCTTGAACCTTTTATTATACTTTCATTATTCTGCACATTTTCATGGGTATATTGTTTTTGATTCAACTGTTTTATAGCTTTTATTAAAACAATTCCTACTAATATTTTAAATGAGAATGTTAGCATGTTTGTTACTCAATAATGCCAAAATAGTTGAATAGACCTGGATGACATTTGGTACAGATATAATATAGATTGTAGTGTGTCAAATGACTTAATGGAATTTGTCATAAGGTGTCTGGTGAATATTTGTATGAATAATAAGTAATACTAATGTTTATTGTGACAAAGTAAAGGTAAACATTAAATATTGTGCACAATAAACATAAAGCACCCAAAAAAAGTTTACATTTGTGCTGGGTTTGTTAAAACTAAAAGTACAATTAATGTCTGAAAAATGTAAATACTAAATAATTAGGTGAATTGAATTATTATAGGTACTGATGTCAGGAAAAATATCCAGACAATTATAACTAAAGTAAAAGTATGAATGTTTTGTAAGTAAAATATTATTGATTTTGTTAATGATTTTTCATATCTACAATTTCATGGATCTTGGTTGTTGTAAAATACATTTTTTATTTCTTTTTTAAATGATTTAATTGCTTTCAATGACTCTGGTATGAAATAATAGAATTTTGGTCCCAAGAAAAACAGAGATTGTTGTATAATGGTTTTTGATGTTTGTGGAATACACATTGAATTTTGATTGAATGTTGTTTGATAGTTATGAATGGAAACCTAAAGTTTCTAAAGTTGTTAAAAGCGATTCATGATTAATAAAGTGAAATGCCTTTACCAAGTCAACAAAAACACATGAAAGGTTCAAAAAAGTAACTATAGCAGTTTTCCACAGTCATATGAATTATCAAATCTATAAAGCAATGAAATGCAGATAGAAAGAAAAGTATTAAACATTGTAGATATGATTTGTGGAACTTCCACCAAAAAAATTTTTAATGCTGCCTTCTGTTTTGAACTGGGTGTGCCCTTGGGCGTCACTTACACGTTCCTCGGGGAACGGGTGGCAGAAAGGTAGTAATCCTATAAATCTAATGTGATAATCCTTTCTTATTCATTGCTACACAATTTTCCAGGAAAATTATATATGTAGTCATACTATTCTGACATCATACACAATAAATTACTATTCATCACATTTATTATATTTGAAATACTATAAACCGTATATGTAACTTATCAACAGTAATTATAAGGTGTATAATAATAAAATAGCCTAGTATTGAAATGCGAAAGGCTTTCGCGGCCATCATCCAATGTTAATTGGTTGGTTTGTAGGTAGTTAGGCCGTCGTAAAATATTTTTATTTGACGTTTCGCCAACACGAGTGGTTGTGAGCTCACAGGACTCCGAACTGTGAGGACCTTCTGAAGATGCCAACCACTCGTGTTGGCGAAACGTCAAATAAAAATATTTTTTTCGATGGCCCAACTACCCAAAAACCAACCAAATAACATTAGCCTACTATTGTTGAATGCACACTACTGGTTCTTAACATCGATATTAGTTGATGATATCAATAATGATAATTTATTCACATCAATTACAAATTGTGAACAAATTGATATGCCACAAAAGAATGTATGTGGATATCATGCTAACACAACATACGTATGGGTCATTATTCTAAAAAGGGGATATCTGTACATCAAAAAGTGCTGCTAAAAAACTTGCACCAATTTTTACTATTTTATTATTTTGAACTGATATGTGTTCTAGGAAAGTAATTTATTAATGTAGTGGTCATGAATTATTACTATTTTTTTGAAAAAAGCACGGCTTTCAGAAACGCTATAAACGGACTTGAGTTGTGTTACGGAGATGAGAAATGTCTAACAAATCGTGTTTTATTGGTAGTAGACAGATGTAGTCGAAAAATAATAGACGTGTAGTAGACGATTTTTCCTAAAACAGTACTTTCAGAAAGCAGACGATTTAGTTTTAAATATAAATTTTAAGTAAGTAGAGTGTTTGTGCCAAAGAGTAGTTTTATTCAGATAGTAAAAATTTAAGAAAACAGTGTTTGGTCTCGTAACACATTTATTTTTATTAACGAAGCGCAAAAACTAGAAAGACAAAAAGCTGCATACGTCAACGTAAGTTCGCCACCTCGGGACTGACAAAAAAAATGTTGCCCCCTTCTAATCTTTGTTACCTTTTAAAAGTTATCGTTTATCATTTTCATAAAAATGTATGATTTTTCTTCAAACTTCTGTCCATATAAGATCAAAAAGTCTGCTTTTCTTAGGATATACGAGACGCTTGGGTACTAGAATCTTAAGTCTTTCTTGAAAACGGTATTTTTTATTACCCTTCCTGAAGCAGCCGTCATCAGTTTCCTTCTTTTTTCACTATTACTTTGACCAATACATTTTCTTTTATTTGGGTAGATAAAACTGCCCCAAAAATGTTTGTTTAATCTCTTTTGAAATTATTTGTCTGGGTTTCGATTTTTATAAAGCCTCTTGTATTTTTCTTTCTTAGCTTTTTTCTTCTTTCTTTAGTTTTTGAATCTCTAATCTCACCTTTCTTCTGTTTCTTCTTGATCTTTTTTACCCGCTGTGTATATCCCTGATATTGGCGTCTCTGAAATATATTTTTGCGTAGGGGTTTGCACAAAATTTTCACGCATCGAGTTTCCAAACTCTCCACAGGTTCCTGCACGGGTTCCTGTACCTCACGTTTCTTGTCGTTACTTTTTTTACTTCTAGCTCTCCAGTCTTTTCGTAACTTTCTGTGCTGCCAAGGGGTCAGATCAGTGATCGATTTTATTGTTCCCTGTTCCTTCCTTCTTTGATATCTTTATCTCCAGCCTTTTAACCTCTTCATACCTTTCTGGATTACCTTTTAGTGCTTCCCTATACTTTCTTATTCGTTCTTTCACCTCTTTTCTTGCTCTCTCTTGTCATTATTGCTTTTTTCTGCTTAGCAATGTTTTTCTAAAAGAGATGAAATAATTGAAAATCTCATCTACATCAGTCTCAGCTCAGTAACAATAATTATGTTACGGTTGTGAGAATTTCTATGGTTTTTAACCTCTCTTGCTCTCATTTTAATTATTTTCGTCTCGATACTACAAATATTAAGATATCTGTTCAGAATGGCATTAAAAATCAAGAAAATATTCTTTTATGTTTCTAGAAAAAAAGTTTGCGGTACAAATAATGAGAAAATTGAACTTACCTCATACAAAAACCGACATTCTACCACGTGTAACTATTTTGATAAACGCAGGACAGCTACGGCCAGAGTTACGGAGGTGAGGTGAAAATCCGAGGACATTTTATATTTCACATAATTTTATGAAACGCAATTTGAATATATAGTCAACGCCAAACAAAGTGGCGTGCACGTCATCAAGGTGGGTGTGTTGAAAAATTTACATTGTTGCCAAACTTTTTGTAAAATAATAAAATTTATTATTTACATATCTAGGTTTATAAGCAATATTAACCTCAAATGAGAACAAAAATAATAGTATAATAAAATTATAGATCTGTACTTGCATAATCATTAAGTATGACAATTATTGATCAGATGACACTATGAAACTACCATATTTAATTGATAGCTTAAAGGTACTGAATAAAAATCCAAATGGGGTCCTCCAAATTTTATGCATGGTATTTATTTTACAGAATTCATACAGAAAAATGCATTCTAAAATTAGGTAAGTTACTGGTGTAAGCTTTTTCTGTACAATAAAGTTAGTCGGAGTTTCTTTCTTCATTGCTGTCTGAATCTGAATCTTCATCACTCTCAAAGTTGATTATTAAAGGTTCGATGTCTGGTCGATCAAAAATTCGTTCTCTTTCATACCATTTAAAAATTTCTTGCTCAGTATGTCGAACACTATTTTTCCACATGTCTGGGGTAACCGTTTGTAGAGCCTCGTTCCACATATCCAAACAGTCTTTTTCACTGTTACCATCTCTACCAATATGTCTGTTATAGTAACCTTTTGCTATGCCCCAAATTAACTCAATAGGGTTAAATATATACGTACAATGGTAAGGAGGCAGACGAAGAACTTTGTGCCCATGTTGTTCCGCCAATTCATCAATCACGTATATTTTAGGTGGTTTGTTTCTAAAAAAGCAGTTATTTTAAGAATAGGAATAAACAAAAGAAATATAAACTGTCGACCAAAATATATATAATTAAGAAGCATTATGTACCGAGCAACAATACTCAATAGCTCTGTTTTAAACATTGTGTTTAAAAATGGTATGTTTTGATTTGTCAACCAGTCTTGGATATTTTTTTTTGTCCATGCATTGTTGGGCACTTTGTTCAATATCATGCTGTGATAAGGGGCGTTATCCAGTATAATCATAGATGGACTCTCCAATTTTTCTAATAACTGATGTTGAAACCATTTCAAAAAATTGTCCTGGTTCATCTCTCCATGGTAATCGCTCAATTTTGTTTTCGAAGAAAATATCGCTTCACTACCCTCAATAAACCCATTTTCATTTCCAGCATGTAATATAATGTATCTAAAATATATTAGTTTTAAATTTTATAGTGCAAATTGTGTAAAAGTACATACCTTTTACCATCTGTTTTAATAGCTTTCACGCTTTTTTGGTTTCCATTTTGCCAAGAGCGACCTATGGTCCCATTTTGAAATATCCAAGTTTCATCGAGGAAGACAAACTGGTATAAGGCCTCAACCTTGGCTTGATTGTATTGCCTTAGAAATTCCACCCTTTTCAAAGCTATATTGTCCTTAAGCCACTTAAATCCAAGATCTCTAAGCAACCGCCTTAAAGACGTGGCACTACCATCAAATAATGCCCTATCTCTTAATCGAGACCATAAAGTTTGTATCGTAACTTGTTCTTCTGAAACCATGTGTAATATGACATTATAATTTAGTTAACAAATTAATGCAAATTTCTGATAAGTTATTATAATAAGATCTTACTTTTGTGATACATATTATAGATCACTTCTCGAATGGCACTTGTATCCAATGTCGCTGTGTTGGTTACACGTTTAATATAACTCCGCTTTTTCTTGGGCGATTCTAAATTTGCATCACTTTTCACACCCTCGGAAATACGACTAACTGTCCTTAAACTAATTTTTAAAGCAGCAGCAACACGCTACAAAAAATGAAATAAAATTTCACTATTATTAATATACATTACATATAATTATTAGTAACCTACCTCTTGAACAGCATTTAAAGGCAACAAAGGCCCGTTGTTGTCCCTTTCTTGCTCAAAGTAGTGCATTAACGAGGCCACGAGTTCCTTACACCGACTATTTAACTGTTTGGGCATCTTTATATACCAAAATTGCCTTTATCTACTCGTAAAATGAATAATTTTGTTTTGAAACAAACAGTTGTTGATTTACAGTATGCGGGGCCAAAGGATTTATAAAGATTTGAAATGCCACAAATTGATTCAGTGTCAAAATTAATACAAATGTCAGTTCCCAGTTTAAATAAGTTTCAAGGTGACAATGTGTCAACGCTGCGAAATCGGCTTAGTGCGTTTACATGTCGATAAGTGATTGGAGCGTTTGCAAAACATTTTATTTCGCATAATGCGTCTAAATTTATCAGAAAGCAACTTATGTGATATTTTAATAACAATGTTTATGTGACTATTAACCATAATAAGAGAGTAATGACCATTTTACAATTTATATATCACATTAATATGAAACTGCAATAGAGCAATTGTTTGTGATAGAAACCTAGGCATTAGGTCGGGAAATTTTTATCGTGATGACGTGCACGCCATTTTGTTTGGCGTTGACTATAAATGAAAATGCATGTTTTTGCAAGATTTTGAGTGGCTTTAAATATTGCTAGTGCTCATATTTCAATTGGACATGACTAAGTTTAAGAACAATTAGTCTATATCTCCTAACTTTTTTCTGGGGACACGTTACGAACGTGAGAAATGACATTTTTTTACGAAGCAAATAAAAATAGGATAAAAATAAAAAATACTTTTTTGGTATGTCCCAGTCAGGACTAGTAGAGTAATAAATATTTATGATATTTTGTTCTTAGATTTACCAAAGCAAAGGCAAATAATGACCCATATAAAATAGCAGTTACAATAAACTGATAGGACTAAAAAAATCTATATCTATCATATAAATGTAATATGTACATTAATTTTGGATCATAGATTAGTAATAAAGAAAAGATTTATATGTTTTTATAAATTACATCATCTATATATCAGTTTTCAATAGCCTCTTGTATAAATCTATTTTTAATAATAATAATAATATTCGGTTTTTTCTAATATATTTTGATAAGTTGTGATATAATTTTGAACCTAAGTATAGAAAAATTTCAATATTATTTCTTTTTTTGGTCTTGCAATAATTATTTTTATTTCTAGTAATATTTTCAGAATTTTTATAAATCGTCGAATGTTTGTTTTATGGAATTCTAGTATAATATTATACCAAAATAATTTTTTTATATCTATAAGTTTTGATTCTATAAATAGCGATTTCGAGGGATATAATAAAGGTTTGTTATGAATTGTTTTTATGAGTAGTTTTTGTATTATTTGTAAAGAATTTAAATGGTTATTATTTGTGGATCCCCAGATTATAATTCCATGAGTTATGTGGCATTCAACGTTTGATATAAACTGTTTAATTGAGTTTCATTGAAAATTTGTCTATAATATATGAATTTATATAATAGAAATCTAAGTTACTTTTGAATGTATTGGATATGTTCATCCCAACGAAAATGGTAGTCTAAAACAATTCCGAGATATTTATGATTAAACTTACGCGATATGATATATATATACAGGGTGTTTCAGTTTATTTTTGCATAACTTTAAGATTCGATAGATCTTTTAAAATCAATGCATAAAGTCTACATAAACATGGGTCGAAAAATGCGTGGCTTCCGAAATACAGGGTGTTTAAATTTACTTTTTAAAATAGTTTTTTTTTAAATATTTCGAACAACATTTGATGTATAACAGTGAAAATTGGTGTACAAGGGTTTTTTGGTACGACAAAACGAACCATGGGCATAGTTTTACTGTAGCCGCTAGAGGGCGCTCTCTACTGTACCTGTAGTGTATTAAAATGACCGAAAAAATTTTCTTAGTGCAATTTTTTGCTTTTTGAATAAAAAAACTGATTCTTCGCACTTTTCAAAATAGAAAAGCTCTCTTGTGAATTTTCGTTATAGTTAGCCGTTTTTGAGATATTTTGATTTTTAAGGTTCGATGCATTTTTAATTATTTATGATAAAATAACGTTTAAAAGTCAGTATCTCGATAATTTTTAGAAGTGGGCTGTGCCTGCAAATATTTTTGAAATTGAAAGCAGAATAAGGTTAAACGTCAGTTAGTTGACAGTGAGTTTTGTTGTCTGTTGAAACCTGAAACGTTTTTTTGCAATTGTGAATGCACGAAATTTAGTTTCTTTTACCTGTTTTATAAAAATGCCATTTTTATTCTCCAATCAAGAGTTAGCGGATATTCATTTTGTCTATGGCTTTGTAAATAGAAACGCAGCAGAAGCAGCCAGAGAATACGCACGAAGATTTCCAAACAGACGACATCCAACTCGCTCAGTATTTGTAAGAGTGCATCGCCAAGTAATTGAAAATGGTTTTTGAAATCTCCAAAGGGATCAAAACATAAATGTTCGTCAGCGCAGATTTACCCGTATGATTCTGCGTGAGTTTGATAGAGATCCGACCACAAGTGTTAGGAGAGTTTCTGGTGCCTTGGGAATTTCAGCAAGCCATGTTCACCGTGTTCTTAGAAATGACCATAGACGTCCTTACCATTTGCAACCTGTGCAAGGACTACAGCCAGGGGAAGGAGAACGAAGAATCGCATTTTGTCAGTGGATTCTTGATAGAACTGATAATAATATAATAGGGAGTTTTTAAGTAACGTTTTATGATGAGTCATGCTTCACTAGACGTGGAGTGGTAAATTTTCATAATCAACATATTTGGTCGCATGAAAATCCGCATGAGTTCGGGAAAGAAATTTTCAGCATGAATTTAGTGTGAACGTGTGGATTGGTATCTACCGTAATCGACTATTTGGCCCCTACCTTTTGCCTGCAAGGTTAAATGCTGCGACCTTCTTGGAATTTTTAAAGGCTGAACATGCAAATATGTGGGATGATGTTATGTTAGATTTAAGAAGATTGGCCTGGTTCCAGCTTAATGGTTGTCCAGCTCATTATTCGAGAATAGTTAGAAACTGGCTGGACGAAAATTATCCAGAAAGATGGATCGGCCGTGGAGGACCAGTTGCCTGGCCTCCACGATCGCCTGACCTAAATCCATTAGATTTTTTTGTGTGGGGATATCTAAAAGAAAAAGTGTACCATACTCCCGTAACCACAAGAGATATGCTAATAGACAGAATCAGGAATGCATGTGATGAAATAAGGCCTTATTTGAATAATGCTATACCACGTCCGATCATTCGTAGATGTGAATTGTGTATTGAACAATTGGGTTTACATTTCGAGCAACTACTTTAGATTTTGTATGTTTGTTCTAAC